GGCGCATGTTGTATTCATGCTTTTGGTTGTTGTAACCATAATGGATACTTTTGCATTTGTCAGCATTGAACAACATTTGCCAGTCATTGCACCATCCTAGTACCGTTTGCAGGTCATGTTGCAGTGCTTCAGTGTCTGCTGTTGTGGATACTGTTCTGAATATTTTGGTATCATCTGTAAACTTTAATATATGGCTTGTGACATTTTCGTCTATGTCGTTGATGTAGATGAGAAACAGTACTGGGCCCAGTACTGAACCTTGAGGGACACCACTTGTTACCCGTGACCAATCTGAAAATTTCCCATTTAGGACCACTCGCTGCTTCCTATTTGTGAGCCAGGAAACTAGAACTAACAGGAACAGAAACCCTAACCCTAACCCTAACACTAACCCTAACCCTAACTCTAACCCTAACCCTAACCCTAACCCTAAACATACCTCATATAAAAATATAAACATAATACTAAACAACCTAAAAGTAAAACTACCTCGGGTACATATCTGTAGTACCTGTTACGACAACGACCCTTCGTGCCTGAGTAAAAGTAAGTGTTAAAGTGAGTCACTGGCACATTTATAGAACTCAACAGATTAGATAATGGATCATACCTCACTAAGACAAATATTTCTCTCACAAACATTCACGGACGGTCGACTAGCATAAATAGTAGAAATGACAAACATGAATAGTGTTATTAATTGAGAAATAGTAGTGCTAGGTAGATCTCGCTGCAACCTGTAAGCTGCCATATTGGGAAACACTGTTTGTAAATAAAGGTGCGATTGGCCGCAGGATTTGCGATGTCAACGCCCGCTTTTCATTGGATAATCTTTCCGTGACGTCACGAGTTCTGCGCCACGCTGAATTCAAAACAGAAATAGGAGGGAAATGTTTGCTAATTATAAATTTGTATTTGATGGCGCAATTTTATCGTATAGATTTTAAAAACTAGAGACGCATCATCACGCCATATAGGTAATCAAAGTGGAAATGGAGATAGAGCAAGAAAACGCCGATACTTACAGGTAACGTAAGAGTTTGTCTACGCGCAGCATTGTCAGTGAAATACAATCTAGACTAGTCAGTCAGCTGTACTATCTGACAGTCCGACTGAGTACACACCTCCTAAGCTGTTTCTAGTGAAGATCTGTGTACAAATATCTATCATTAGCCGTGATATCGTAGAGTTTTTAGTCACACAGTTAGCGCAGTTTGCTCAACTTGGGACGTAAAAGAACCACTGAGGGCGCAAAAGGCTCTGGCTGTGACCACCCTCAGTGGCTCTTCGGCTAAAATAAAGGCTAACTACCTGGGCTAGGCTTTACCCAAGCTAGGTCACACCCCATGGCTAGCTATAGCCCTGCGTTATTATCCACGTAACCGTGGGCTACGCAGTAAACTATCCAGATCCAGATCAACTTGTTTTGAAACATCTACTACCTAGCTTGGATGCATGGGTGCGTGGGTTACACTTCTCACAGTCACACCCGTTAGAGCAGTGGTGATAGTAGTAGTACCACCTCTCTCAGTCTCTGGGTCTGTCTGATTACCTAGGGGAGGGCCCAAGACGGAGGCAGGTTGTACTAGGTCTATGTACTGTGTAGATTCAAGATTCAAGATGTTTATTTGTGCATAAGTTGTGTATATATATATATATATTATACAGTGTACAGCGGCAAATGGGAAATATACAAGTCATACTAGTTAATCTAGTTTACAAAGGAAGCGCAGGAGTGGCGAAAGAACCCGCGGGTTATCAAAGTCTGCCACTCCTCAAAAGAAAATGTAATACTAAATAGTAGGCAGATGGGTCATTATTATAATATACTTGGTTGCCACAGTGGATGGTGAGCATGGGAAACCGCAAAAACATGACAGCGAAAATGATCAAAACATGAACAATAAAACTGAATAAAGGTGAACAAGAAACTAAACAAAGGTGAACAAACGGAATGAGCAGAACAAAACAGACAGAGCTCTAATTTACATCTACAAAATAACGTATGGGCAATAAGCGTAATAAACAGCAGTTTATACTTAATTATATATATATATATAATATAATTATATATATATATATGTATACACACACGTTTACCTATATAAATAGGCGCAATAGATACAATAGTTATACTATACATAGATTATTACTATTATTACTATAAATAGATACAATAGTTGCATTGACAGCTAATATATAACATGTTAGAGCTGTGTGGCAACAGAGCTGCAAAATGCACATATGTAACAGTATGAGAAACAGCAAAAACATGACAGAGAGAGTGAACAAAATGCAGGGTTCTCCCTACGTTGCGCAAACGGGGCGCCCGCGCCCCGTTTGGGAAAACTCCCCCCTGTTTCAAATCGTTGACGCCCCCATTTAGAACCATACAGGCCTCGCACCGCCATTAAATTCCACCGACAACACTTATACAAGACAGTTTGACAGCCCGCGGAAACAGATGTACTATAGAAATTCCACTTCGACCAGCAGAACAGAACCCGCACGCAGCGTGTATTTTTAACCCGTACTCACGCATGCATGCACGAACCTACACAAGTACAAATCAGTTTAACCCTGTACCGGACAGACGCCAGACCACTAACTGTCAGCACGCAACTCGAGCTCTTATTATCATATACAAGAACCCGCAAAATCCCGTCTATGGTGTGCGTGGCGATATTCACGCATTAAATCTACAGTGCGTAACGGTAAAAAACACGCGCCCCCCGAGCCCCCCTACAGGGTTCGTACGGTCACTGGAAAACCTGGAAAGTCAGTGGGTTCATTTTTCTTCAAAAGGCCTGGAAAAGTCCTTGAAATAGAATAACTTTGGTACAAATTCATGGAAAAGCCGATGAAATATGAACTATTATTTGATTATATTTAGTTATTAAGTAGTTTGTTTGACCTAATACAATTGCCCTTTCAATTTCCAACATTATTTCACCGGTATGTCACTCTTATTGCTGCTAAGCTAGCTGCTAGTTTGTCGGCTAAATGCATCAAAACCAAGGTCTTAGAACTTTAATGGATCTTTGGCATGGAGAAGTCATGAAAAGTCATGGACAAAATTCTCCAACTAGGGGAAGAACCCTGCCCCTATGTTCCGCTTTGCCACAAATGAAATAAGGCCCTTCGTTCAGTAACTTCATTTTTGGTGAAATCTTCAGAAAGTACTCTACATAGTCCCCCTTATCTTCTATTGCCAACAGGAACATCTTTTCAACATTTTCTGTGTTCGACTTTCGGGCAAAATCTGCTGTGCAAATTGTGTATATAAATATTTTATTAGTTACTTTAATTAGTCGGTGATCTTAATCAGAAAATCGCCGTAAAGAAGGTCTTATTTTGGCCTCGCAGAAAGGGTCTTATTAAGACCTTATTTCAACATGTGTCTTAACTAGCTATGAACCCGTTTCTATAATCCAATATACCAGAGGGTAGAAAATTAACTTTTGACACCGGGAGTCCACACGGACTCCCTACCTAACAAGAGGGAGTTCGCAGTGCCCTGGAGGTTTCAAAACTTAAAGATATTTATTAACATAATTTACCGCATGTGCTCTATTTTAAGCATTCGCATGCAAGTTGCACGTCTGCCCAATATTTTCTTTGCAGCATTTACACTGAAAAAATACAGGTAATTCCACGAGGCCGTGCTCGCGGAACGAACTAGTATCGTATGGCGGAATTTTGCAGGGAGTCACACGGACTCCTGATATATGTCAATCAGGGAGAGTCCGACAGTAAAATGCAGGGAGTATTTGACTCCGGACTCCCGTTAATTTCGCACTCTGTATTCAGAGAGGGTGAGCTAACCCCTATGCCTATAGCAACCTCATATGTACCTCTTTCGTCGGCTGATGAAAGGCAACCAGTATTTTTTAGGAAGAGGTCTGTGAACTGCACATTGTGATTGCGTTATTGGAGTAGTTTCTGTGCTCTGCAAAATACCCATGTAAGATAATATTGGCTGAGAGGGTCTATGTCCCGCCGGGTAGCTGCCGGAACGTACCTTGTACTATCTAAGTAGCCGGACGGTACGCTCCGCTAACTCCACTAACGAGTCTAGGAGAGTCACCTACGCCTACTCCCTAACCCTAACCCTAACGGTACGCCTAACAATATTTAATAGTTACCAGGGTAGTGTTCGCGGTATATCCGACGTACCAGGGTAACGTTCCGGCAGTACCCTGGGGACATAGACCCTATGAGTGATAATATTATTGGTGATGCCTTATATAATATATAGTTTTAATCAATACAGACAGCCACATGTAGAATCAGCCACACAGCGATCGGCTATGGAAGAGTTGGAAGCAGAAGAAGAGGACGATACTGTCTTCAATCCACCAACCAGGACCTTCTCGTTTAGATTGGTAAAAATGATGATGTGATTCAATAATCCATGTTGATTTATTGTCAATGATATAATAACTAATATGCAGATATTACTAATTAGTGTCAGTGTTATGTTGGAGTGAAATTCTTGACTTAACTTGGTTTTAGTTCGAAACTAAATTTCAGTGAGCTTAAATTTATTGATATATATATAAAAATAAAAATATATGCAAATTCATCATTGCTAAAAGTGTAAATCGATACAGCATCGATATCTTAGTGAGACTACTCTAGTTATACTCTCACCTATTGCTTTGCAGGGAAGGAAGCGAAGGAAATCGAACAGCAGCAATTCTAGTCAGGAGTATGACGACGTCAGTCTATGCAGCCTTAGCAGCTTGGATAGCGTCGGTAGCTTGGAAAAGCAGGTGACTACTGACTAATCACCATAATTAAACTAACGAATCATCTCAGCGTTACCATTGGTGTGCAATCTCTGCCTGAATAGCATTCTTGTTTTATTTCGTGCTTAGTATATAAACTTTTTTAATAAACGAAAATCACATCACCTGGGTCGGAAAGACCACATAGTTTTACTAAGAAAATTACTAAATTAAACTTCAAGTAATGCCAGGTATAAGTTCAATTAAATAGTAGCGTAAAATAGTTAATAGTTTAGTGAATATACTGAACCATGAAGGTCTGCTGTTAGTACCACTCCCTCCTGTATTTATCCGTTGCCGCGGCGATTTCATCCTCGCAGCCGAAGAAACGGCGCTCACTGGCAAGAGTCACTTCCCTTGCCAGCATGCTGTCTCCCTCCAAACCCATGAAGATGTTTGGGCGGTCCTTGCAGGTATGTATGTATACATGACTCTAGATAAACGAGGTAGCAGTGTGTATAGACAATAGAGTCAGCACCAACAGCTATAGCTTTTCGTTGCCTAGATGCTTGTATTAGGGCATCATTTAAAAAAAGTATTCTCAGCACTGTTAATATTTCCCTGCTAATTTCGGGGGGTAAATGTGCTCTAAAATTGGTTATTAATTAAGGTTTTAACTACGTTATCATTATTTTGCTATTACAACCCTCACTGCGATCGATTGTCGTTCGATCAAGTTATTATGAAACAAAAAATGTCTTCTTCAGCAGTTGTGTAAATACTTTGTCACTACCAGTGGACTAACCCCCCGCTGTAGTATTTACTGTGAAAGCAGCTGGGTGGCCTCGGGTTAAGGAAACGTAGATAGGCACCGCCCTATGCACCACATAAGCTTGGGAAGGGATTTAAATTACATTTAACTTTTCACAACAAAGGTCAACGCGAAACCCCAACCTTGTCTTTATCCATGGTTCGCACAGTCCTTGAAAAGTCCTTGAATTTGAGGGGAGTCCTTGAAAAGTACTTGAATTTAGTAAATGTTGATTTTGTGCTTGAAAAGTCCTTGAAAAGTTCTTAAAACAATTTTCAGTCCTCCTGTATGAACCATGTTATCGCTGTCGCCCAGAAATCACTGAGCCTCCGCAGCTTGAACCAGGAGGTCTTCCCACCTAACGGACACGCCCCACACGCTAAGCCGGACAGCAGCTTTGTGTCGCCTTACAAGAAACCCGGGCCGACGCCGACCAAGCGACGCGCGAGCAGGCTGTGGATGGACACCGTGAACGGCGCGTCGCTGAACCTATCCGTGAAGGAAGTGAAGAGGCAGGAGGTAACGATCGTCGTATTGAACCACCGGGAAAAACGAGAAGATGCTGTGTGCGTGTGTGTGTGTGTGTGTGTGTGTGTGCGTGCGTGCGTGCGTGCGTGTGTGTACGTGTGTGCATGCGTGCATGCGTGCGTGCGTGTATGTGTATATATATATATATATATGTATATATTGTATTTTCTTGGTTAAGTTTAAACAGTTGATTATCAGTTGCACTGGGTTGGGG